TATTGGATGAAACAGTAGATAGAGCAACAGTTAGCTTTGAGGGCTAGAATAGATTTACCTGTGTATACAACATAACCAAAAGGTATCACCTTTTCTAAGGTTTCATGCTTATCCAGTATCTTTCACAGCAATTCAATTTCGTCCTTATTCAGGCTTGCACTAGTTCTAGCATATGCTCTCCCTTTTGGTTTTCCTCTCCTTAGAGGCTTTCCATGCAATTTCCAACAAACTTTTTTGGCATGCCCTTTCTTTTGGCAATGATCACACCATTGATTTTGTTTGTTCTTGTCCCTTTCTTGTGTCCCTCCTTTAATGACTAGGGCATTGGGTTGTACTTCAGTAGTAGACTCTCCTGAAGTTAATTTCTTTATGCTTTTCTCTTGTCAAATAGTAAAGATCACGCCATTAGGTTCTACGAACTTCTTGACTTATAATTCTCCTGTTTACTTCTTCGAACTATGTGTCTAGGCCAAGGAGAAATTTAAAGACTCTGTTCTTTTATCTTTTTGTAGAGAGTTGTATCTTTAGGATGCTTTCACTCATGCACATTGTATGTGTCAAGCTATTGCATTTAACAAATAGCTCAATATAATACTATGTAACCGAGATGTTACCTCTCTTGAAGTCACGAAGGAAGCTCTCAATTTCTAGCAAGGCTACTTTATTCTTTAGTAAGGTAAACATGTCTTAAGCAGCATCCCAAACTTCCTTTGCAATTAGAAAGAACGAGAAGTTGCTACTAATTTTAGTGGTTATTGAATTGATCAGCCATGCTTGAACTATTGAATTTTCTACCTCCGAAGTCGCATATTTCTCATATATTTTAGAGGCTTTTGTGCGGAACCTGTGAGGTAACTGTATTTCCTTTTTCCTATGACATAGAGCCGTATACTTGTTGCCCACTGTAAATAGTTCTCTCCATTTAGTCAATGAATAGTGACGGAGACATGGTTGGTATCAATTTGGGTCTGGCCTTTAGGCTAAGTTGTGGCTACAAGACCCATCAAATTGGCTTTTGGGTTTGACCAAGCACAAAGTATAAATAGATGCAAGCTCTCAATAATAGAGAAGAGAGATCGATGAGATGCTAGCCTCATATTATGATATAATAAAATTAGAATTACGATCTTGGAAAATCAGGAATTAAATCCCATAATTTTAGGCTACCTAACTTTGGAAATAATCTGGAGAGATTTACCCTAGGTTACTTATGACAGACGACCTATTGGCCCATTAGGGTTTTCACCAAGAAAAAAAAATGTTTTTGTTTTATACCTTGAGAAAGCACATGCTATAATAGTCATGGAATCTAGTACTTTTACATTTATGTGGCTTTCTTTGTCAAATCTATCAACCAAATGCATAGATCATGGGAAAGGTATTCTCATGTCAAATCTACTAAAAAAAATACAATTAGTGAAATTAATCTTTTATTACTTTTTCACACTATCTTCTTCCAATTGAAAATTCTGAAATAAGTCAATTGTTAGTTTTAGTTGTGAAATAGAATTGAAAAAGTTCCAACACTTTCAATGTAATTCTTAGAGTTGGCAAAACGGGTTGGTCTGACCTTACAAGGCCGAAATTTAAAAAATACCACAATTTGCTATTCCAACCCTTAAACAAATGGGCTTAGGGCTATCAACATAGTAAGAGACGTAAATATGATTTTTAGATATAAATATGAATAAAATTAAGTCACAAATACAAAAATCATCATATCTAAATGTCCGTCAACATACCAAAAGTCTAAAACATCCATTAGACATAAGTCAATACCAGAGACATCCAAAAGTTCTATTAAAAGTAGACAAACATTTTCACTAGAAAAAAAAACTGTGGACAAACACTATCATCACTATCATCAATTGTAAAAATATTTGATTGTGTTTCACTAATAATAGGCTCTTCTTAACTTCCAAAAATATCAATGATTTCTTCTCAATATTATTTAGCTATTCTAGAGTTTAATATGTCTTCTTTTGTCTTTTTGAACTGAATTTTTTGCCCACCAGTAAGTTTATTTAAAAGTATCAATGTTAAGTTTGTTTTATAGGTTTCAACTTAGCAACCACTGGGGATTAATTCTGTGTTATCTGCTTACTACCTTCGGCCTACAAACAAGGCCTTATAATTAAAAGCAAAGGTATTTTTTTCCCTTAGGCTTTAATTGTGAAAATCACTTTGTTGCACAGTCTTATAAGAAGTCTAAAATATCTTAGCACTTTGCATTGATCCATAGTATGCTTTTAACTATTTCATCTCTTTTTTTTTTGTTCAGGATGGCCTTCTTTGGTTTTGTCTAGCTCACTTGTCTAACTCTATTTAAATATAAAGTAAACATTTTGATGTAGAAAAAAGGGTTAACTTATTTATTAAAATTTTAACATATATACAAATTAATATGTATCTGTTGGTTCAATCATTAAAATTTTTGTTTTAATATGGGGAACATATTTTGTTTATTTTAATATGTAATTGTTGGTTCAAATAAATACAAATTTAAAATCTGATTTATGATATGGAGAATATATTTTTATTTATTTTAATATCATTAGAGGATGAGATGTGAGCTGAGAATGAGTGAAAGACTGAAAGTGAAACTTAGAGAGGGAGAGTGTGTAAAATGGCAAGGACTTAGGTTAGGGTCAAGAAAAAAAATATAAATTAAGAAAAAAATTACTGTTGGCAGGTTTAAACAAGTCAACCCGTTTATTTTTCAGCCCTACAGGACTAGTCCTTTTAACTCTAAGTTTTATTTGAAGATCCCAAATTACAAGCCCGGCTCTCAACTTAAAAGCGTTTAAACAGGCCAACCGGACGATCTTGGCCCATTTTCCCAGTTCTAGTAATTTGGGGCGAGAGACTAGTTTTTGCATTTCCTGTTTTTAGTTACTATATTTTTTTTTCATTGTTACTTTCTGCTTTGAGGTTAGAGGGAAAATCCTACATAGGGTTCAAAGTTCTAGTCTAGGGAGAAGAGTCTAAACTTGTTCTTTGAAAACAGACTAGGATATAAGGAGAAAGATAGAAGCCTTTCTAAGATTTGGCAGAACCTGATTTTGTTGTCTTGTTGCACAATTTATCCCTAACCATGTATTAAAATAAAACTAATTTATCTCTATGTGTGAAAATATATATAAGAAGAATTACAATAAGATCCTAAAGAATACAACAATCAAAAAGTCATAATAACAAGTTAGAAGTTGTCATTTCTTATTTTAGAATTTGTCATTACAAACGGTTCAATTATTTTATATGCATATATATATAAGTCGACAAAGCTTGATCAATTAAATTACTCCGGATTGGTAAAGACAAAGATGATTTAATAATTTCATCTATACATGTGTAACTTGAGTGGAATCTCTTCGGATCTAACAGGAACGTCCTAACCATAACCAAAACATTCCAAAGCTGTTTACTTTTCTTTGGTTAAAAACTCAATAAAATTATTTATTGGTGTCTCAAAGAAGTTATTGCTTTACTCAGTTATACACACACACTAATTCCTTATATTGGTGATGTTATGAGCAAGGAGACGGTTTCTGAGTAATTCGTATTATACTGTATTGATGTATTATACACGCGGAGAGTAAAATAGAAAAAATAATCAAGGTAAATCAAGACATTTGCAACAATAAAGAATCAACTAATAAAGGCTCATAAAGCGTGAATGATTGAGCATAAATTTTGGAATTCTCATATTCCCCTTTAAGTTAGATCATAGATATCAATCATGTTCAATTTGTACACCAGGTTTTTAAACTTCTTTCTATGTAGGCCTCATTAAAGATATATTTGTTGTTTGATTTCACGTAGACTCATGTATGATGTCTGAAATCGCGAAGCCAATCTAACGATGGCAGAGCACAAAGACGCCTCGCCCGCTGCGCTAAACCCGCTGCGACTTCGTGTTTGCTATCCGGTGGCCATGCTCTCTTCCCTTTCTTTCGTTTTAAACGGCAAATGCGCTCTCTGCTATGATAGAAATAACAACACACTCATACTATGAATTATAATAACTAGCATTGATATTAATTTTTACCAATTTTTTGAAAATTTTAAAATATTTTTTAGTAAATTAGAATATAAGTGCGTGTTTGAGCAAAACCGAGGTTCTTAACATGAGAAGCTTTAAACCTAACACATTAAAAATTAAATAATTAATTTAGAGAAATTGAGGAAATAAGGTAAGTTGGTTAATTATAATAAATTTACGTTGATTTTTCTAAACTATCCTATCTAATCATGTGCATTAGAATCATTCCTTGTTAGGAACTTCTTACGATCAATAGGGACATTTTAGATTTTTAAAAAAATCATAAATTTAGGAGATAAAATGAATTGAGATATTATATTTAAAACTAAACTCAACTCTTTAACTAACTCTTATATTAAAAAATAAAAGTAGTATTACTCTTTGAGATAACTCAAAGGATATAACTTTATCTACGCAACTTCAAAATTTTCAAGTGATACGTGGTTGAAAAGTTTTTTAAATATATTTTTCAATGAAAAAATTTGCATTACAACTCAAATGTATTTTATAAGAAGTGATTATAATTTTCAAAAAAAAAACAGGGAGAGTTTACGGCACAACTCAATGTATTTTATGAGATGTGATTATAATAAAAAAAAATTATGACATTAATTAGCCATTCGCCACCCCTTTGTCGTCCCGGTGTTGGTCACTAATCGACACCAGGGCTTCGGTGCTGTCGACAACTCCCACAGGTGACTGCTCTCTATTGAAGCCAACCACTCCAATTGTCACCATGATTTTTGGTGACAAAATAATAAACCACTTCTTGGATCTTAAAATTACGCCACCGAGCTATTTTATCTATTTTGTTAACAAGGTGCAAATCCCACCAAAACTTTCGTGAATATTGAGCCACCAAACCTTTTTGTTAAAATGGTGAAGAATAGAAAATATAAGGAATGATAAAACTTGAAGTTTGAGGATATCTACACTTGTTGGAGTTTACTGCACTTTGTTGTCACTTTCACCATGTCATTCTACACATTGCGTTGAGGACTTCCGGTCTCTTGCAAAATTTTCTGTTGTTTAATCCATAGCAGGAGAGAGCGTCGATTCCAACTTCCTGCAGGGCTCATATGGTGTAATCATAAAACATAAAAATGGGCGCTTTGAGGGTTTTGGCAAGGCCTCTAGGACGCTGCTTGCGTGGAAATTCCAAACCCTACCTCACTCGCAATCAGCCATTTCTAAGCTTCATGACTATATCTCAGCAAATTGTTCCATGCAATTCCGATCGATGGCAGTTTCAGTATCAGAATCATAGGACTCTCATTTTGGAGTCCTTCGCTTCTGAGTTCGTCAAGCTTCAAAGACTCGCTGACCCGGATTCCGGTAAAGCTTTCCCCAAAAATCGCTGCGAGTGGCTCTCTAATCTATATCTAATAGTACATAAAAATCAAACTGATTGACTGTTTTTCTATATTCTGTCGGGATTCACTTGAAAATGGTTGCTTTTGGCCCAAAAAAAAAATGAAAATGATTCAGCTTGCGATTTACTATATTACCTTCTCTTCGAATCTAAATTTGATGAAAATAAAAGGGCTAAGTATGAGTTATTTTTAATGGCGTTTCTTGATTCTGTGCATGTGACTCTCTTGCATCGATCTTGTGCTACTCTACGAACTTTATCAAGCTCCTCTACGTGTGTGCGGTGGGGGGGAAGGAGATATCCTCATGATCACAAAAACTCTTATTCATGGTTTCCTGCATTATTTTGAAATGCAGTTTGAAGGGTGTAATTTGAATTACAGGTCCATTTTAAAATCATTTAAACATTTTACAGGTATTTTTGAAGTTAGCTTGGACCGGGCTGGAGCTAAAAATGCTATAGGGAAAGATATGCTGCGAGGTCTGAGGCATGCATTAGAATTCATTGATAGAGAGTCATCTGCAAAGGTTGCCATGATCCGAAGCTCAGTTCCTGGGGTATTTTGTGCTGGGGCCGATTTAAAGGTAGTTCACGAGGTTTCATGTCCATCTTGAAAAGAAGACTAGGTTCTTTGTATTTTGTAACTCAACTCTTCTTATAAGCCTAGAACTAATGTAGTAATGTATCCAAGCTATGCCAAATCAAAAAATAGATAAATTTCATTTAAATGCCTTCGCAACTGTTGATTTGGTTGTTGCTATGAGACAGACTTGATTAGATTTCCTTTTACTTGTATTCACACAGCAGAGTAATGTGCTAATGTGTGCGTCTGAGAGTTTTATGTTTACTGAATCACAGGAGCGCCGGACAATGAGTCCATCAGAGACTAAAGATTTTGTGAATTCTCTTCGCTCTACATTCTCTTTTCTAGAGGTTAGTTCACATCATTAATTGGTTTTCAATTATGTATAATGAATAGGTAGCAGATGAAGCACCATGTGTAATTCAGGCTGACGACACCTAAGGCAGCTCTTAGCATAAACTTTCTAATTTTTAGTTCCATTTCCTTTTTGCATTCTCTGACAGTTCCGTCTTTAACAATTTTATTTTTGACCACTCACATCCAACATGTGTGTGATTTTGCCTCCTTTTTTTATTTTAAAAAAAAAAAAAAGAAAGCAAAACATGTTCGGTTTGTTTTCCTTTTTGGTCTGCATTGATGAATATATCTCCGTTGAAGAGCTTTTATAGGTTGTCAGTGATGCTTGTTGGTTGTTGCTTGAGTTGTACTTTGTCGCATAATTCATGGCATCTCTGTTTTTCCATCTTTCTCATCTTCATTGACACTTGAAAACTAACATTATACGAATTTGTTTGAGCTTTATCCAGGCACTTTGCGTACCAACTATTGCTGTTATTGAAGGAGTCGCATTTGGTGGTGGACTTGAAATGGCTCTGGCTTGTGATATTCGAATATGTGGTAGTTAAATGTGGAGCATTTTGATATGTTCTCTTTATGTATGCTTGGAATGTGATACATCATATGAGTATTCGACTTAGATTATTTCTCTTTTATGGCGTAGGAGAAGATGCTCTCATGAGTTTGCCGGAGACAGGACTTGCTATAATACCAGGGTATCTCTCCTCACTTCTTCTATCCTTAACACTGCCATTTGTAACTGCGTTCATCAGTTCTGCCGTCTAATTATGGATGGAGACATGGCTGCGTTTTCGATAGTAAAGTATACAGTCCTAAAAATGTGGGAAGTTATAAATCAAGGATTGGTTGTTAAGAGATCAAACTATATTTCATCGTCTAGGTCGGTGGGATAAAATTTTGGAGATAGCACTTTTAACTTTGCTGAAAAATGAGATTGGCTCTGATGGAATCCTAATTGGCACAGGGCAGGTGGGACACAGCGACTCCCTAGATTGGTTGGGAAGGCAACAGCTAAGGATATTATATTTACTGGTCGAAAGATTAATAGCAAAGATGCACTGTCTATGGGTATGTAAATTGGGCATTTGACTCATTTCATTCTCTCATTGGTAAATTTCTGATCCATGTTCATAAAATTCGACAGAGTTTTAGTTGGCTGATTGGTAAATTTCTGTTCAACTCAATAAACACAAAGTACAGGGTCAAAAGAGCATCATTTTTTGTGGTCATAATATACCACCTTTTTGTTGTGAGCTACATGCATACTGTTCCTCTAAACTTACAGTTTAGTTCAAGAGCACCCCCCCCCCCCCCAAAAAAAGAAGAAAAAAAGAATCCTGAATGCGGAGGTAGGTTCTCCAAAAAGACATAACCTCGCAAAGTAATAACTAGAATTCCCAGCTAGTGTTCAGCAAGCTTCCTTTTTGTATTGACTCTAGGAGATGTATCATATTTTGGGGTTCCTATTGTGCTTGCCTAGGCTTTCTTGCAAACATCCTGGAAGTCTTAACCATCACCAGTGAATTCCTGGGAAGCTAGGAGAAAGATCAGCGCCAATGTGCAACTTTTCAAAACTAACAAATTATTAGTTTTTTTCCTTTTTGGAGGAAAAAGCAAGGAACTGCAATATCTTTTGGTATGAAGCATTGAGAATAAGAGATTATTGAGAAAAACCATTAAAAGAATATTTAGTATGAGTAATTGCTTATTATATGGGATTAAACAAATCCATGTAGGTGGGATTAGAGAATACCACCTCACCCCATGGTATTCTCCAATTCCACCTATATCAATTTATTCAATCCCAAGTAACAAGTCATCTCTCATACTGAACACTCTTTTAATGATTTTGTCAATCTCAATTCCAATCCTTACTCCTTATTTTCGATGCTTTGTGCCAAACGAGACCTGCCAATTTTTTCTACCAATAAGATCAATAATACTTACTGAAGAAGCTTACATTGATGCAGGTTTAGTTGATTACTGTGTTCCTTCTGGTGAAGCTCGTTCAAAGGCACTTGCTGTCGCTCAGGATATAAGTCAGAAGGTATCTCCCTAGCAAAACCTTTTTGCGCTTGAAATGATAACTAAAGCCAAAGCTATGTGCCACTGAATTTCTGTACATGAATGGTAATGACTGATTTTCTGGATTTTTTTTTTTTGGTGCATTTTCTTTTTTTGTAGTTGACTAAAATTTGTAAGTTGCATGGAGCTAACTTCAATAAAACAAAGAAAAAGATTTTTCTTTTTTTTGGTCCAATGGTATGTGGTTATCGTTTACATGTTGTTCCTTTGTTCCTCTGACTTTTGCTGCCTGCGAGGACTAAAAACAGATCAAGAGGAGACCCTAGTTTCTCAGATCTTTATCTTGTATAATTTGGTCTCAGAACCTTTTGATACTTATATCTGCTAAGTAAAGAATATCTATTTTGTTTCTTTCTATTGGTCTCATCGTAAGTTCTAACAAAATTTGTGACAGACGATGAGCAATTATGAAGTCAAAATGATAATTCTACTTGAAAAATGGTAATTCTGTTCTTAACAGGGTCCTGTCGCAATTAGGATGGCAAAGAGAGCCATTAATGAGGGAGTAGAAACTGATCTGGAGTCAGGTTTGGCCTTGGAAGAAGAATGCTATGATGAGGTGCTGAATACTAAAGATCGGTTGGAAGGTTTGGCTGCATTTGCTGAGAAGCGGAAACCAAAGTACACTGGTGAGTAAAAGGATCATTATTTCACTGCTACTTCTGGCTGCATATTGGAATGAACAGGACATAGAACTTGGTGATCATGAGTGGTTATAGATACTTGGTGAGTGCATAACTTGAAAGCATTCACCTTTCTGTTTTTTTGGGTTAACAAGAAAGTAATTTACTAAAGTAGTGTTCTGGGGCTGGTCAGTAGAAAGAATCTAGCATGACTGTAAGGCTGATTATGTCACATGAAAGAAATGACAACAGTACAAGAGAAACGGGTTTCTGTTACTTGAAGTTCAAATTTATTCATGGCATGAGAAAATTGGCATAGCCACATTGCTGGTTAAATATAATAAATAATCTCTTGTGATGTAAATTGATTGCTTAACATAGCCGTTTTATGATTATCATGTATTCACCATTTAAATTTAAAATGTGGCTTGCCCTAGTAGCAGCAACAATAGTTAAGAATGGTTACTGCTTTCGTTAAAAAAGCTTATGTCAAACTCTTACACAAGATTTTTGTAGAGTTGGCTTATAATTCGTTTGCTTTCACATGGAAAGCCATCGAAATCATGATTTTGGTAGTAGTTAATTACTGTAAGTGCTATTATTGATCTCTATAATTTAATTGAATTTTGATTTTCATCCTTATTTATAATTTCAAATTGTGATTTTTTAGTAGTATTAACCTTGTTAACACTGTCGAGCTCAATGACCAAACCAAAACTCGTTAAAAAATGTAGGAACCAAAATCAAAACTCATTAAAAGATACGAGTCAGAACTTAGGAGATGTTTGAGGGAAACCAAATTATAGTTTGAAAAATGGTTTATAGAGAAAAAAGTTATTTTGGAAATAGATTTAGAAGAATAAATTTTGTAAGGAAAAAAAATAATTTTGATAAAATAAAAATATTTGGATAGTTATAATCAAAATCACTCTTTTTATATGCAAACTAAAATGACATAAATTAATATGATAATTACATAAATATATATTTTAATTTATACTTTTGTATGAAATAATAAATTTGTAAATAGCTGTCACCTACCTATCTTCTCATTTCTTAAAATATTCAATTTTGCAAAATTTAATTAATTTAAATTTATTTGGTTAACCACCAAATAGCTTAGATTATCACGCGATTCATTCTTCACGTTCTGTATATTTGTACATTGGAAATTTTTAATGCGTTATTTGTTTTTCCCCGGGTGTGTTACGATAATTTTAGAAAAGTTAAATAACCATATATAAGGGCAATTTTTTATCATATGAGATCTTAATAACTAATTTGTGGATAATAAAAAAATTATTTAAGATAATTATTTATGATAAATGTGTGTTATTTTTTCTGAAAATTATTGTTAATCATACGCATTAAAACTATCATTTGATATTATGATGTGTAATTACTGTGAGAACTACTAAAAATAAATAAATAAATATGAGGGTTGAAGTGAATTATAACCTTATGTTTAAAATCAAATTAAATCTTTAATTAGCTCTGATATTAAGAACTGGAAGTATTATTGATATAATTAATTAATAATTAATATGTGTATATACTCTAAAAGTATCAAATCATGGTTTTATGCCTCCAAAAGCCCCCCCAAAAAAAAATCACTTATGGAAAACCATAAATATATTCCCAAATCATAGTTTTCGTTCCAAAAATAATTTTACGAAAAATCGTGATGTTTGGATGGGGTTTTTTCAAAACTATGGTTTTAAGGGGCATCCAAGCAACTCCTGCTAAACAGATAAATTAAAAAAATTCCCCAATTTGCCTATTGTTTAGGGAAATCTTGAGAAAGAGGAAGTCTCTGTCTGGCACCAAATAAATGATATGGCATTTCTTGCTTCTAGGCATGTAATCCGCGGGTTGGGATTACGAGTGTTACTAGCTCAAAGGCTGATTATGTGAAACATAAATATGAGAGAAATAGGTTTACGCTATTTGAATTGCAAATTGATTCATGGCATGAGAAAGTTGGTGAGCATAGCCACATACTGGCTACATATGATAATTAATCTCTTGTTATTTTAATTAAATTAATTGCTTGACTAATTAAACTTAAAATGTGGTCCACCAGCGATGAGAATAGTTAAAGTGTAATTCCTACAGGCCAAAGAAATTCCTACTTAAGTAGTCTAAGTGAAAATTAAGATTTTCAATGTGGCGGCTTATAGTTTCTTTGGTTTCACATCGAAAGCCATTCAAATCGTGATTTTAGAACTAGTAGTAGTAATTTACTTCAATAGGAAAGGATTTTAACGATTTACAACATGAAGCCAAATATCTACTCCCTCTGGTCTATATTATTATGAGTCTTCAAGAAGGATTTTTTTTTTTGGGTTAGTAAAAGTAAAATTAGGAATCATTTAAATTTCATGACAAATTTCATGTTAACTATTGTTATTGCTACGTGTGAATTAGTTAGATATGTCTTATATTATTAATCGGAAGCAGTATATAACTAATAATCCAAATACTTTAGTGATTTTAGTGCAGTGATTAGGCACGTTGATCCCAAAAAACTCAAGGGATTTGTTCGCGCCTAGAGTAACTAACTAAAATATTTCTTCCAATGGAAAATGAGGAAATGATTCTCAAGTAGACGAAATTTTTGTGGGTCGTTGCTTAAACAACAAAGAAATTAGTCATCCATGGGAAGATATATTTAAGACAAAAACTGTTGGTAGATATATTTTAATTAGATACTTCTGAAATTTTTTTTTTTTGGTTCCCTACCCAGTTCACCAAAGCTTTGCCCTGACTACTTTTGAAAATTAATAATGAAGTACATATAATTGAGCGCTTCACATGACATGATTCCATGGAAACTTTTTTTATTTTTTTTCATTTGATCACATAGATATTTTTCTATTAAAAGCGATCTTATTAAAGATATTGTCAAGCACTGTATGTGTCTACCTCTGTCAATGAAGATTTTAAATTTTGATTTGTTTGCTTTTGACGAAAAAAAAAAATTTTGATTTGTTTGCTAGTGACTAGTCGCTTCTGTTTGTCTTTTTAATTAAGCAACTGAGGAGAGGCCATTTGTTTGTGAACGGATCGAACATGTGGTCTGAAATTTTCCAGAAGCGCAGCTAACGTAAACCACAAAGAAATCAACATCTTTGAGAACTCAACGACTTGAAGAGATAACTGAGGGTGACCGATCTAATTACAGTGTGAATATGTATTTGACAATGGTGTGCTGCGTGTTCTTTGACTTTTCGTGAATGTGAAAACAAAACAGTAATACTCCGGTTTTTTAGATAAGACCTAGTTATTGAGTTGATTTTGGTTCTAAATATAAAACCTGTTGAGTTGAGATAACTGAGGGTGACTGATTTAATTACAGTGTGAATATTTGGTAATTTTTTCTAAATTACCGTTATAGATACTCCATCAAATATAATCAAGTAAAAGAGAATAAGTATTAATAAAAATGATTATGGTATTTTAAGAAAAACATGTCACATTTTTATAATTAACTAACTTACCTAATTTTCTTAATCTAATCAAATTAGTTGACTAAATTTTATATTAATAACTAGAGGAGTATTTTTTTTTGGTAGACACAGATATTTTTTCATTAAAAGCAATCATGTTCAAGTCACTATTAAGTACTCCTCCGGTCCTTAATATAGGATCTAATTTTTGAGTTGGCTTTTGTCCTAAATATAAGACCCATTTATCATATTTATCAATTTTTTCTAAATTACCCCTATGAATACTCCCTCAACTATAATCAAGTAGAAGAGAGAGAGGGGGTATTAAGAAAGATGATTATGGTGTTTTAGGAAAAATGTGTCACTTTTCTTATAATTAACTAATTTACCTAACTTCCTTAATCTAATCAAATTAGTTAAATGGGTTTTACATTAAGGACCGGAAGAGTATTAAATATGAGTATCTCTCGAATAAAGATTCAAACATTTGTTAATCACATTACACATTACTGAGAATTAGCCTATTTCACTGTACCTAACCCCATTGATAACAGTAATATTAATATCAGTGCAGTGAATTAATTAATTAATTAAAATAAATGATGAAAAGAATCTCACGAAAAGCAATTTGACGGTCGCGGTTTCACACAGCTCCCCAGTCCAAATGTGAATGCGTGCAAGCAAGACCCTCCTGTGTTTGTCCATATTTTATTAATTTAATAATAAAAGGTTGCATCACTGATTTCTATCAATTATTTTTCTACCTTTTTATTGAATCATTGAAAGGAGCAAAATTAATCAATCATTGTTAAATCGAGTGGTAAAAAAAAATTCAACACGTGTTATTTTTAACAAAGCCTCAGATTTAAGCCTTATTATTGGCTTCACCCTCTCAAATCCTGATTACTCTAAAATATCAAATGCAAGATGATTTGACCCAAAAAAAAAAAAAAACATGGTAACTGATGAACGTGTGTATGGAAAAAATTGTAATTTTTTTGTGAAATTTGATTCAAATACATTTATATTATTTTATAAGATAAAAATCAATAAATAAATTATAAAATCATATTTCCTTATTAAAAAAATATGATGTAGAGTACTCTATAATTTTTTTAAAAAAGTAATAAATGGCGTGTGGCTTAGGAAGGGTCGAAAGCTGGAGAAAGAAAAGTCAAAGTCAAAGTTTCAAATTCAAACATTAGGGATAGGGTCGGCTTAACTGTCACGGCTTTACATGCTGTCATTTTGAGAGCCCTCGTGCGGGTGACTTTGGGGATAGCCTTACCCCGCACGAACTGTTTTTTTTTTTTTTTAATGTTCATTTTTTCGGGGTCCAAAAAACAATTCAAAGGGAATTGAAGGCTGTCTCCTGCGACAGTCAGAAGTTCCATCATTGCTCTTTTATGTCTTTTTCTTAATAAATTTTAAGAATAAAAATATTATATTGTACTACCCTCCTATTTTAATTAAAACCTTCATAGTTTATAAATAAAATCTTATAATTAAAATAATGAGTAAGCAGTATTTTAATTTATTTTAGGATTAAGATTTAAACTTTTTATGAAATATTTGCGAATTCACACCTAGCACTATAATATTCGTTTGGCTATAAAAATGCTCATAAAAAATTTTAGAAGGATGACAAAATGCTACAACGGTTTATTTAAGCAAACATAGGCTACTTTTTAATAGTGGTTTCTCGTCTGTTTATTTTATAAAAGTTAATGGACATGTGTTTAAGTTAATGGTTATGACACGTTTGCATTCCTTTAAAATTTTAATAAATATTTTTACACCCAAATAAATATTACGGTGTGAGGTGCATATTT